TACATGTTTAAAGGCTGCTGCTAGAAGGAGGGATTAACCTGCTCTTGGCAGCTCTAGAGAAAGAAGCAGTGGGTTTGCACTCAGAAAAATGGTTTCAGGTTAATATTAGAGAAATGCATACCAGTTGGGGTCCTGAGGTGCTGGGATAGACCCTGGAACCTCCTCTACTGAAGATCCTTAAGGATAGGAAGAATAAAAGCTGTTGTGAGGAACATCTGTCTTATTAGCCTATGTCAGGGTTGACAGAGTATAAACACTCCTGAGTTTCCCACTCTTCTGCCTGTACAAAGTGTTTCAGTGGCCTTTAGTTCTGACATTTAGCACTGGGTACAGAAAGTTAAAGGGAAATTAAATTAAATTAATCTCTACTTTTATAAACCAAGAAGCTCAAAGTTAATTACACTGAAAATGCAAATAAAGAATCTGCTCCAGATTCTGTGAGTGAGAGAGCTACCCCTGATTTCTATTGCCCTTGGATCAAACCCAAAAAGCAGAGCTTGCATTATTTTCCTTGCAAATTGTTAATATGTGTGTTGAATAAAATACAAAATTACAAAAGGAATAAACTTGTCTGTTAAACTCTTCATCCAATACTACTAAGGGTGCTGTTGTCAGTTTGAGTTTTTCAGTTTACTCATCTAATCTAGATGTATCTATTGTCTTTTCACTCAATCTGTCATCAGCTTACTGGACTTGTTGAAAAGCGTAGGTTTGTCAAAAAAATTTTAGTTCTGCTGTGGTTCATTTCTTTTTCCTATTGACCTATGTTATATTGTGTCATATAATCAATCTGGTGTCTTGTGTAAGTGCATGAAGAATTTGTGTTGTTTAACAAGAGTGTGCAGTGCTTTTTTCTATCGTTGGTGATGCAAGATCTAGGAAATTACTGGACAAACACTGTATGTTCTGCAGTTTAATATTTCAAGTTAAATTACAGTTCTAATAGCTGACATTCAGTAGCAGCCTTATTAATCTTGCTGCTGACATGAGTCATTTCAGGATGACGTGTGCAACAGCAGAATTGTCATCTAGTTACTCCAACAAATAGATGTCTTGCAAATAGCTATGGAATAGCTGAATCTTCAACCCTGTGCTCACAGCTGAATAATTGAATATGCATTTAGCCTCTGTGATTCTCATCTGCTTGTGGCTCTAGGCTGAAAATACTCTGCTGAATCTGTGCATGCTCGAATCTGGTAAACTACAGCAATTGTGGAACTTGTAAGAATTTCCACATCAAACCATACTAAGTTTAGTGCTCAGTTAGAAGTCTAAAACTTAGTCAGAAATGACATCTAAATGAGGGCTAAAATATAGACTACTCCATTACTCCAACGAGAGATAAAGGCTCCTCTCTGCTGGAAGACATGCACTAAGGAATCAGTGATCCAATATCTGCCTGAGCAGCAGCTGCCTGCATTGCTGGCTATTAGAGCACTTTTAAAGTACAGCCCTCTGTTAGAATGCAAATGAACTCAAGAAAATGGCAGTAACTCAGACTGGCAAACCACAGACTCCTCTGATGGCCTGGCAGATTGCTAGAAGTGGTCTTGAGCACCTTCAGCAAAGAAAAAAGGCTTAATTTTAATTAATACTGGCAGTCATTTCCTTCTGGAGTTATTAGATCAGACAGTTATCAGATCAGGTGGTAATTAGTTCATGTTACTCATGAAAATATCCTTCTATATTTTGGGTATAAAGTCAGAACTGTCATCTTTGACACCAAGGCAGGCATTTCTAACAGAGAAATAGGTGAATCCAAGTGTTGCAATAAAAGCCAAAGCAGTGTCTTTTTCATCAAAATAAAAATCTCAACAGAATTATTCTAGTCTATATGACAGAAAACTTTGGAAGTCAGACAATAATTTTTCTTCTGAGACTGAGAAACTAAGTGTATACAGTGCCAAATAACTAGATAATCAGGATATTCGCTGGAAAAAGAAAAATCTAGCCCTAAATTTGGGTCAAATCCCAAATCTGCTACTACTTATATCTTCATTTCATGAACATTTCTGGAAAGACTTGTCTCCTTTTGTTGCAGAACAAGAATATTTTTGAAATCTCAGAAAATTCTGTAAAATGAGATTTTTGCTCTCCATTAAGGTATCACAGCAATCATTACTTAAATATTTTCATCTGCCTAACAAAGACTTGCTTAGAATTGATTCCAAGTGATGACATGCTAATGGAAAGCTTTGTGTACAGCAGACATTATTTGAGCACAGAGATCCCCCTCCTTCCCCCATCAGCAGTTTCTGATAGACTCCAGTGATCCTGAGACTTTAGCAAACTGTTCAGGAGCACAAGTGAAATTTTAGGACATCCTCTAGTTAAAAAAAATTCCCCAAAACCTTAATTCTTAGCAGGACAACTTGCTAATTTCTGACACCTTCTTATTTTAGAGCTGCATTGAAACAGGAGAGGAATCTCTTAGGAGAGTCAGTGTGGTTTCCATTTGATATTATCCCATGCCTTGAGAAAGTCCCATCGCTGCTATAGCTCTCAAATGGATAAAGGAAAGATATTTTCCTTTATTGTTGATTGTAGTCAGGGGTAGAATGGGAATGAGGGAGAGAGAAAGGAAGATAAAGATGTGATTTTCTTTCATTTTATAAAATTGATCACGGGAAGAAATGTGTGAAAATTTACAAAGGAGTCACAGAAACAGTGGCCATTAAAAATGTCTTACCACGTACTCTGGAGACATGGGGAATATATTGAGGTTAAACACAAAGTATAAGCAACTGTCACTAAATCTCTGAGTAAATCTATTGAACTATAGGTCACAGCTGCTATGTTCCCTCATAGGAATAAGTTTCTTCTTGTTAATAAGCCTTTCTACATGTACTTCATGTAGACTGGAATTTCCCTGGGTCTGATTTTACATTGCTTACCCTCCTGATGAAAAGCAAACTGAATCTATATACGTAGCTTCTATTACATCCCATACTTCCAATATTTCAATTTATAGATTAGAAATATAATTTTTTAAAAAGAAGAAGAAAGAAATCCTGCAAGTCAACAGAAAACATTTTAAAACAAGAGTCCCAGATTTGAATTCAGCTGGCAAGCAAAGAGGAGAGAAGTGAATATCAACATGTGAAGATCACACTAGGAACTAGAACGGTGGTTCCATAACTGTTTTGGATTGCTATCAACCCTCAGAATTTCTTATGGACCACCAGGCATCGTTATCATCAACCTTTTAATTGAAAACACTATTTAAAATAGTGTTTAATACGGCTCTGTGGATTAGCTGTGAACCCTTTACCGTGGCCTCCTGGACCACCAGTGTTCTGTGGACCACGGTTTGGGAAGCACTGAAGCAGACTGCACACATCGTACCCCCAACAAAACACTGCTGTGTCTGGAAGCACAGGCAGTCCTGCAACTGCACCATCGACTCGAATAATGCACATGTCAGTTCAACCTTCTCGGTAGCTGGAGAACACAGAACCCTTTTGTTTTGCCCCTACCCAAAGTTTCTTTTTTATTGCTTTGGAGAAGCAAGAGAATGGTGCCAAACCTCAGTTTCTGATTGTTTCTTGTAGGATCTTCCTCATACCTGGCAATGATGTAATCTTCCAGGAAGCTATCTATTAAAATAAGAGATAGAAATCCCCCCATACATAAATACCCCCATGGAGTTATAATTCCAGAATAGTTATGAGATCTATGAATCCGAAAATTAAAAAATTAAAACCAGCTTCTAAACCCCTTTTTTCCCCTCCTCTGGAAAATTTGTTCAATTTTTTTTCCTTCCCAAATCCACTAATGATGCTAGAGCTCTGTGTGTGGTCATTAAAGCATTTCAGCAACTTTCTGCAAATTCTTTACAGTTATTCTTTGGCTGCAGCACTACAGGATTGTCTGTTTATTACCAGAGAAACACACAGCACTGAGCACTGAGAAGGGAACTTGTGGGGAAAGCACTGAGAAGGGAACTTGTGGGAAAAGCACTGAGAAGGGAACTTGTGGGGAACTGTTATAAATAAGAGCAGCAAAACACCACGATCCAGCCCTCAGTGAAGCCAGTGACAGAGTGTGGTCTCACAGGAGAGCAGGGATGGGCTGTATCTTCCCCTCCCATCATTCTGCCTCCTTGCACTTCCCAGGCATCTCAGCCAATCGCTATAGAAAGGGGTTTTATTCACCTCTCTTCATAATATCAACAACTATTACATGGAAGCATCACAGAAAAAAAAAAGAAAATAAAACACAGAACTCCTTTTCTAAAGCAACTTTTTAAAAAATAATGTGCCTCCATGACAGTTTCTCACCTACTTTGGAGAGAAAATAGTGCTGTCACAGCACTTCTATGCCCTTTGTATGCTCAATGTGGTAATGCAGAGGTTTGAGTCAGAGTGGGAGTGGAAAAGGGTCACTTCAGCAAAACTAATGCACAGAAGTCTGCAAGGGAAAGGGCTAACCACTACTTTGAAAGAAACTGAAATCTACCCAGTTCTTGTCTCTGTAGGTCTCTTGCAGTACTTTACACTCAGCATCACTAATGGATGCTACCAGATAATTTATAAAGTTACATTAATAATCAGCCCCCTTTCTGTCCTAGGGATTTTTGTTGTTGTTGTTGTCAGAACAGTTCTCTTTTTCCATGCAGTGCCAATGATTAGAGGTAGCTATTAACTCACTTTTTATTCATCTGAACCAGATAAAGTTCAGCTTGCTAACCTGACTAGACAGTGTGAAAACAAAGCCTGTGGCGTCCCCTCGCCACTGTCCAGATTCATTGCCAAGTTCCCCTCTGGTGAAGGGCTTTACTTGGGACTATCACATGGCTGCATACCTGGGGTAATATGCCCTAGCTGAGCCAAGCATTTTAAATATGTGTGGAATTCTGTAAAATGAGAAATCCACACTGAGGAGTAATGCTCTCCTCACACTGCTGCCTGACCCCCTTGCTGTAGATAATGTGTGTGCTTTCTTTAGTGAGTACGTGCTGCCTTTCTGCCAACCCATCAGCTTTTGGCTTCTCTCCACAGGAAGCAGGGAAGCTGCGTTCACCTATGCCATTACTGCTGCCGGGGTTGCACACGCTGTCACGGCCGCCTGCAGCCAGGGCAACCTCAGCAATTGTGGCTGTGACCGAGAGAAACAGGGCTACTACAACCAGGAGGAGGGCTGGAAGTGGGGAGGCTGCTCTGCGGATATCAGATACGGCATTGAGTTCTCCCGGAGGTTTGTTGATGCCCGAGAAATCAAAAAGAATGCACGGAGGCTGATGAACTTGCACAACAATGAGGCTGGAAGAAAGGTATTCCAGAAAGGACAAGGGATGGGGAAGTGTGTGCTGGAGGACGGGGGGAGGCTGGCTTGGTGGCAGGAGGCATTCCCTGAAAACTTCCCCCTCTCCCTGATGTTGTCCCGCACCCACATCAAGTCACCGGATGGCATCTATTCACTTTTTTTTGCTGTTTCTTTTTATTCAGAACTGGCAATGTATTATAGATACTCCTGTAAAAATTTTTGCTTCCTAAGCCTTCTTTCCAGCCCCCTCTGTAAAAGGGAGGGCCTTGCTGGATCTGTTTGGCATAATGATAAATCACTGCTTTTCATCCAATTTGCCAAAAATCTAGCAAGGGATGTCAGGGCTTGTGATGGGACAGAACTGAGTTGTCTGCATTGCTCAACTTCCACAGCACTTACAGATTTTTATTCCAGCAAAACACAAATCACTTATTTGACCCCAGCTCTAATGAAATACACAATGCACTTCTTAGCAGATGCACAACTGTCTCTTTGCAACTAAAAAGCTACAAAGATCTGCATAAGAAGAAACAGTTTCATGTCTACGACCATGACTGAATTGCTTGTCATAGAAACAATAAACATCATGGAGCTATGCTGATTTATGTTCACCAACAATCTTCATAGCTCTTAATTTTTTTCTTTTAAAAAGTGTAACAGATCTTTCTGCATCATATATACCTACCTCAGGAGAGATTATAGCCTTCAAAGTGTTTCCCCCAGGAAAAGCCCCCCACTCCAGCATCGCAGAAAAATCCAATATACCAATACATCAATCCAAAAAAATCCTCCTCCTGTAGTCCCCAGAGTAAGACTGAATTTTCCTTCTCTAAAACCATGTGTGCTTTCAGTCCTGCACTGAGCACTGGGCAGAGAGAGTAGAATTGGTGGTGACAGAAACAGTGCAATTATCTTTCTGCCTGGATCTTGCATATTAGTCCAGCTGCATTGGCCATGCACTGAAACTGAAGGTTCTGTATGGGCAAGAGTTCACTGGGACAGAAATACTACATAAATGCAGTGTGGAGGAGGGGCATAATCTCAATTATAGGGACAGGATAGGTACTTCAGTGATAGTTCACACTGAGATCTCCAGATGTGCAGAGGGAAGCTGGCTGAAGAGCCAAACAGAAAAACAGTCTTGAGGGGCAGTCTTTTCTCCTGAAAATTGCTGCCATGGGTATGAAAGAACTTCATTCAGCAGTTGACCATCACATTGGAAGGTCTGATCCAGGTCTGATCACTTCACTTAGGCTGGGAATTTCATCTCAGCATCATGAATTGTGTTTGGAGGCAAAAGAAAATGGAAGTCAACTCTTAAACTTGCCAGGGAGAGTTTCTTACTGCTAGATGCATTATCATCCTACTTAAACTGGCATCCCCTGTGGTGTGTGCTGTGCCACACCTGTGGAGATCCTGATGCAGGTTCTGCTTGGAATATGTCACAGTCTAGACGTGAAAGAGAGACAAAAGAGCAAAAGCAGATACTGAGATGGAGAACAGTGAAATCCCAAGGACACAAAGAACTCATTATGTGAACCAGGCACTGATCATGGGTCCCCCAATTCTAAATACAGCCCTGAACCACTAGACCACATAGCTGATTATTATTGAGCACATTATATTTTAGTTTTCATCAGAATTTCATAGGCAGAGGGACATTAGCAAACCAAAGAGGTGCATGTTTTTACAGATACTTCTGGTAGCAACATTCATGCAAATAAATTTTGTTTAACAATTCTAAATTTTTTTTTCAAATGTTCTAGCAAAAGACAAATTATAATACTTTCATATTTTAAGAAAGGAATAAAAAGGCTTGAGATACTGACAATCTATTTTTCTCCATTTTTAAAAATATAAATAGTATTTTGGAATTTATGAACTTTTTTGTTGCTGGCATTTTTCTGTACTTATTTATACTCTATTCATTAAGTCATTAAGTCATTAATTCATTAAATCATTGTATTGCTTTCAAAAGCTGAGAATGACTGAAAGGATTTGGTGTAGTTTTTTGTTTTTAAGTGTAATCCATCAAATCCAGAGGAATGTGCTGATATAAAAGATGATTTTGGGGGTCATGCTTAGAAATAATGTTGGTATTATATATTCCCATTGACTGAATATTCAGACTTGTACAGTAAATAATATTTAGTGATTTTGGTTCTTCTGGGATAATTTGTTATTTGTATAAATTAGACATTTTGAATTCAAGACTGACTGAAATTTAAGGTTAGAACAAAACTCTGGAACCTAGGATATCCTTTCTGTGTTTCTGGGCTGGACCCTTACAAAAGCAATTGCAGATTTTTCTGTGACGTCTGTGTGAAATCACAAATTCCTTCTGAGAATCAAAGCAGACTTGAAATCTGACCTACATCCACCTAAAATCTGACAGTTTTGGGGATCCTTGGTAAGCCTGGACTGGACTGTGAGCCTGACACAAAATCTGAAACCAGGAGATTTGCTCATGCATGGGTGTCATTCTTACATACCCCACATGGTCTTTATTCACACTCACGTCAAAAATCACAGAGTCACAGCAGCAATCACAGAATCACAGGATGGGGAAGGTTGGGTGGGTCCCACCCGTCTGCTCAGGCAGGATCCCCTAGACCCTGTTACTCAAGATTGTGTCCAGATGGTTTTTGACTATGTCAAGGGAAGGAGGCTCCACAGCCTCTCTGGTCTGTGTTCAGTGCCCAGGCAGTGCCCAGGGAAGAAGTTGTGCCTCCTGTGCAGGTGGAACCCCCTGGGCTCAGTCCCTGCCCGTGGCTCTGGTGCCATTGCTGGGCCCCCGGAGCAGAGCCTGGGCCCTGCTCGGAGCCCTCCCTGCACACAGGGACACCCAGGGCTGAGGGCCCCTCTCAGCCGGGGCTCCTCTCCAGCCTGGACAGCCCCAGCTGCTGCAGCTCCTTTGCTCCACACAGGACACTGAACTCCATGATCTTGTGGTCACTACAGCCACTGCTGCCCTAAACCTTCCCTTCCCCAGCAAGACCTTCCTTGTTTGTTGGAGCAAGGTCCAGCAGCACAACTTCCCTCACTGGCTCCTCTGTTTGCCTGGGTGCAACACTGAGCTTCCATCTTTCTCCTTTTCCCTTCCAAAACTCTCACAACACAACTGGGAAATGCTTGTTCTGCTCTGAGAAAGTCTTGTCAGTGCCATCCTGCTGATCTGTATGTGGCTTGTCTTAAAATTTGGAAGCACTTCAGAGCCAAACTTCTGGTTCATGACTGCTATTACAAAGAACCAAAGTAAGGATATTTTATCCATGTTATGAATAGGAATAGAAAGTAAGAAGGAAAACACAGGCAACTCAGTTTATTTTTTAATTCCTTCATTGCTTTCAAATGTTTTCAAATAAGGTATTTTCAATCTTAGAGTGGTAATGGATAGTAAAGAGAGTAAAGGAAGTATATGCTTTTGTAGCTTCCTACAGAGATTTCACAGCACTTTCACCATTTAAAAACCACTGCATTCACATCTGTAATGGTAAGGCTTGCAGTTCATTTTAGTCATACCAAATCGAGTTAGCAAAGAAGAACAACTCTTAGCCAACAAATGTGCTTCCTTTTAGCATTCTTTGTGAATCTCAGAGCCTTCTAAGAAATAAACATGAGGAAAGAAGGATGCACAAAGAGCTCCCAACCCCACATACAATTGTTTCCAACTTGCTCTGAAGTCAGTGGCAAGCCCTTGATGACCTCACTGGACACCTCCCAGGTGGCCAGAGGTTCATTGCTAGGATCATTAGTCAAGACTCTGGCCACCAATTTTTCCCCCCAAACAATTATTTGAATGTTCTCTTATACCACCACAAGGACTTTCTCATGTGCTCTCAGAAATCTCAGAAATTCATTCTCAATCTCTCCCAGCACTTGTCCCACACGTCAGAGGGGTTTGTAAGTACAGCAGTATGGCTCCAATATTTTGCCTTTGCTGGGATGCTCAAAAGCTGGCCTGCTGGTATTTCACTGTTGCTAAAAACAGAGCCCAGAGGAATTTTTCTTTGTGGAACAAGCAGCATGCTGTAAAAATAATTTCACAAACTTTGCAAACAGATGAGAGGAAAAACAGTCTTGGGGGGTCTTTTACTTCAGTCTAGGGCTGAGATGTTCAATACAACCCTCTAATAAATTATTCCTTGGGAAAAAAAAGGACATTTAGGCTTCTCAGGGAATTTCTGATGACTGTGGGATGAATGAATCCCCTAATTGCCCCACAGTGCATCCTCAATGGCTCTGCATTGAATTTCTAAGAATTGTTTCAGCTAATGGCAATTTTGCAAAGTTTCTGATAAATTTGCAATAAATAGCACCACGTACAAAATCATAATCTTGCCATTGGTGTAAATTGGAGTAAAAAAGTGCTCAGGGATTCCTGGTGACACAAGACTCTCCTGGCAGAAGATTTATGCTTGGAGGCAAAGTGGCCCCGCACGGGGTGAAAGAGCAGAGGAACAAACTTCCCTGTCAGTTTCTGAACATCCGCTATGATTCGGGATGGAAAGTACAAGTGTGGTAAATGAAAACAGTCCCCCAGAGGAGGACTAGTGTAAGTCTAACACAAATGTTACTGAAAGAACGTTTTGTTGCAAATCTGAAAGGTTATGGAGAGATCTGTGGGCAGAACTTTGACAGAGTAATGAAAAATTAAATACCAACAAACCCAGTCAGCTTTGATGCTGTTTTATGAGACAGCTTTCTACCATGTATTTTTAGAAATAAGTGTCTTTATTCTGGGATAAATGAACTTAGAGTAACATCTGGGAACACACATCATTAAGCTTAACTTTTTGCTGAAAGCTTCAAAACAATGACCGTCTCTCACGGGAAATCTCATTTATAAAAATGGAGGTTTCTGTTTGTTTTTATGGGGTGAGTTAAAAGAACAAACTGACAAATTGGTAGCAGATTGCAGCTTTTACCAACAAGTAGAAATGTTTCTAACAGTTTATCAATCAATTAGGCTCTTACAATAGACAGTGACTGTGGTTATGTGGAGAA